AGGGTTTTTTATTTTTATATTTTGAGATCAAGCACAAAGCTCACGTCTAATTTTCGTCTGCGCTTGATCTCGAAGTGATGATGTCAAATAATAGTCACGGGCTTTGATTATTTTAGGTGATGTCAACTTCGCTAAAGCATTCTGTAACATCTCTACCTGCACACGCCGGGACGCCATGGACTCGGCTATAGCACTCAGCAAATACCATCTATTTTTCAAAGCCCTCGCCCCTTTAATTGGCTGACCCGACGAAGAGGTCGACTGGCGAAAGGGCAACTTATTAAAAACGCACTTGGACGAAAGAGGCAGGACCACTTTGGGTTTGCTGTAAAGATGCCTTTCTGAGGCGTTGCTTCAATCACTTAAGGTACGCAATGGCTTGAGACACGTCTGCCTTTTTTTTTTTTTTATGAATGACGTGCGATGTTTTGATGAAAACTCAACACTGCAGCAGATCCCCAGCGAAAGGGCTTTTCTGTTTTCTTTGCAGTTAGCGGTTCGTTTGTAAAAAGTAAGAATGAACTAGTTACTATCCCAGCAATTTCTTCAGGCTCCCAAAGAAGAGCCAGTGTGATGAGCATGGACTTTGCTGCCAAGTTTCAACAGGAGTCCCTGTAAGTCTGTCTTTGAAGCAGAGCGTGCACCACTTTTATCATGCACCCTCTCTCCTGCCAGGAAGTACCAGCTCATCCGGAGGATACTGCTCTTCTCAGTGGTGTACACCACCACACTGGGTGCCCTCTGCTCCATGTTCGGAAATCCTGCCAGTTACATACTGCTAGAGCATCTTCAAGAGTACGTCCCGGTTTGTCGCGCTGTATAACATTGATTTTCCTAAACGGTGGGAAATGAATTACCAGTTATCTGCATATTTGGATTCCTACGATGCATGGAATAGAGAATTCAAGGAGCGATATTTTGTATTTGTTTAGGACGCATTAAACGGTAGTTTGGGGTGTGAGTAAGAAACTGCTTATAAATTTTCCCTCTAAACTTAGCGACACAATTACCGTCACGTGATGTCGTGGTATAACGTGCTACCTATACTTGGCACCGTGACTTTACGTGACCTGGCATCACGTGTGTCTGGTCACAGGACATCAATCCCCTCGATAGACTTGGTACAAAAGTGCACCGTTAAACGGATGGACGAACGAGTAAGCAGACTGACGAATTACGAGATTAGGGGGTTTCGTTAAAAAGCATTATATAGGCTTTATTACTTTTCTATAAGTCAAAGCACCGTCAAAATGATTATTATAGTAGCTTTCGTCGACTCGTCCTGCTTTATGTAATATCAAGTTTCGGTGCTCATATCGGGATGCTGCTAAAATTGGCTTCATTGCATTTTTATATCGGGTAGCGTGCAAGTTGCCTTTACACGTTTTTATTTTTTTTATTTTTAAGTTGTTTAGCAATAATTATTACTAACATGCCAATATCCGGCATCTATGGAAGCACGGTCCTACAAAAATATTTTTCTTGTGTTTATTCATTTCACTGGTTTCAGTTCCAACCCTAGCTGGCGTAAAGAGGTTAACAAAACGACTCTAATATAAAAAATATATTGCTTGAAAGAACAAAATATTCGAGAGAGGAACCTTTGCAAGCTTTGCTTTTTAAAGCCATTGCTTTCTTCGACCGTCCATCCGTTCTTTATTAATTCTGGCAGCTTTTTACTCCCTTTGGGTAATCGGAAATATGGCGATTGTGGCTATAAACCTTCAATTCAACCCCACTTGGTAATAACTATCGCAAAACATATTACTGTTTTGCACTATCGGGATTAGTAGAAATTCTTGCTGTGCTAAAGCATATTCTATGAGTCATCGCAGTGTGATTATGAACACAGTTGGAAGACAATAAGCATCCCAATTCGTTGTGACAGGGTACTGGATGTACTTGATCATAACCGAAGAATTATCGGTTAAATTAAATGCGACTAAATTAACCAATAAAAGAAAACATTTTGAGGAGCTGATTTTTTTGTTAATACGCTTTGAGAGGATTGCAACAAAACGCATCACTGCATGCAGTCTTCTATTCACGATTTGCCAAAACCTGACTAGAAGGTAGTCGGCCCGTTTTTGTATATTTTTTTTCAGTTGATACTAGACTTTTGCTTAAAAGTACCTTGCGACCACAGCAAGCCTTTTTCTTGTTTTTAGGCGCAACCCTACCGTTCCTGCTGTTTTGCTTCATTTTTGACGAGTTATATATATTTTTAAATATTTTCCACAGTTATAAAGTTAATGCCAACTTTCGCTACATTTTTATGTTGTGACTACGTTTATTCCTAGTTATCAGTTTTTTTATTTAGCTTTTTTTTACCACAGTGTCAGATAGTAAACGCTTTCTTTCTTGTTTTAAAGCGTTCCAAAGTCCGCAATAATTTATTTGAACGATTTACGGAATATAATAAATAAAGAATAAGCAAATAACTGTACAAAAATGTGCATTTTAAAATAAAATATAAGGTATAAAATGCTGTTAGTTTCTTGTGCTATAAAAACTGAATCCCGTCAACTAATCAAAAGTACGAGACAGTAAATTGCGAAGCATCTTTCAATATTTATTTTCCCAGGACTTGCTTAACGATAGATCACATATGAAGTCTAGTATTAACCTTCAAACGTTTCCGGTTCAGTTACGGCAAGTTTTTAGTTTCTTAATGTGAAACCACAGATGGCGACACGTGTTCAAGAATAGCTTGATGTGCATCTGCCGTTGTGTGCTGCTTGGAACACCATGTGAGAGACAGTAACGGCACAAGGCTGCAAGTGCACCCTAGCTGTTTTTGCGCATCGTGCTTCGGTACGTATGCGTGGCGCGATCCAAATGAAATGGGTGCTAGTAAAGGGAATCCGCCACCATGTTTTTTTATTAATTGCAGAAATCTTTTTGGGAATCGGACTATGGCTTCTTAGAATGGTGCGGCTATATTCTGTTGACAGCCAGACGCTTTGCACACACGCCAAATTACAGCCGCCATTGCTGACCTTTTCTTGTCTTACCGAGATGCCGAAGCACTGAACGGGCTCTGACGAGACTCCACAAAGGCATACGCTGGAGAGAAGGGCACAGTAGAACATAAAATGGAAATAACATGGCCTGCTGCGGTAATGATGAAGTAACGTGAACAAAATAAGAGGAAAAAATTTTAAGACCGGTTATGGCGGTGCTTATGCACAACTGCTGCAAAGCGTCTACATCGTAGCGTCCCCTTTACAGCACTCTCTACATCACGAAGAATTTGGTGCGATTTACGTGGCGCGCAAGGATCATCGAGAGGCGCAAGACAGAACTGCTCCGGCATTCGAGGCATCCGACGGGCAGCGCTGGCCGGCTCCTTTTCACGCAACATCCTTTCTAAATAGTATACATAAACTTGTGATTTGCCATTCCACTGGCCAATTAGTATATATAAAAATAATACAAAATTGGTTCTACGAATAATGGGATTCATCCGATAAAACTGTGTTAGCATTTCGATCGAATTCAATTCAACGAACGTGTGGCCTCGGCTTTCTTCCGTCGTCGCTTTTGGATACGGTCAGCGATATCACTCGTGGGGAGAACCACATCCATCGCCGGAGCGGCAACTGAGCTGGGCAGCATTCCAAAGCGGCGCGGCACCACCTCGTCTCTCCTTCGCGCTAGCTGTGCGACGCTCGTATTGGTCTGAAGGGCTGACGCCAGCACCGCGTCACCTTTTTCCTCCCTCCCCACCACCGTGGTGAGACAATGAATCAATCACAATATCTCCTCACGGGGGATCGGTGACCGAGTGTGCTGTCTCAACCGGCGCCACGATCAAGCGGCCTTCGGAGCTGCTAGAGGCAGGTGAAAGTGCGCACGAGGAGGAGTCTGGCTTGTCCAATCAGCGTTCGAATTATCTCACTGAAAAACCGAACAAGCTGTATCGCTCTGAAACCCCGCGTCCCATGGAGTGCAAAACTACTTCTACCCAGTCCGAAGTAGGTTTGCACACCAGTGACTACAGTAATTTCTGGTTTATTAGATGATTTTAACATCTTTTTCATACCGTATTCAAACAAAGCTTTACCGCTAAATTGCTCTAGTTTAGTTGTCCGGAGGCGTAAGCCGTGGTTCCTGAACACGTTCCTGAAAGAACGAGCAGATGTTGCGTTATTAGAGGAAAATAAGCTTACGCCCGTTCCTGTCGAGCACGCGACAAAGTTCTCTGAGCGTCTTTATGAATTTCAGTATTCGCGCGCGATCTCCAACATTGTTGGCACGGTAATTCTCGTCCGCAAGAATAAGGGCATTTCAATTTTTCCTGGATGGGAAACAGACCACAGTGGGATAGTATACGCGGTAGACATGCTGCGCCATAGCGAAGTAGTGTCACTCCACGCTTGCAACAAACGCGCGGAAAGAAAAACGTTTTGGGAACACTTAAAGCAATACGTTGAAACCCCTGCACAAGTGATAGTCGACGGGGATTTTAATTGTATCCTAAACGCCAAAGACTGCGCGCGTGGCCAGAAACAAGATTTGAGCCTTGGTCCACTTAGGAAACTTCTCAGAGAGCATGACTTGCAAGATGTAACTGAATTGGCGAATGCTTCGGAGCCCGGCTACACAGACTGGGAAGGGGAATGTCACTAGCGTTTAGATCGGTTAAATCCGTCGAGTGAGTCGCCGAACCGGTCGACTTCTCCAAACACGCACTAGTCGAAGCGCGGTTTGGAAGGGCGAAACCAACGAAGTATGATTCATATTGGCGACCGTGGAAACTTAACGAATCTCAGCTTACAAACCAGACGAGAACGCCACAATTCATCACAAAATTACGGAAGCAGCAACATACAATTTCAAAAAGTACAACGCTGAACTCTCCCCTGCCGTCAGAACGCCCCTTTAGGGCTGTGTAATACTGGTCGTTATCCTAAAGCTGTCTTTTTTTTTTTTCTTTTTAGTCGCTACGCGAGGACGGGCCTAGACGTGCTGTCCTGGTTCGTGCTTTGCTTTCCTGTGTCGGTGGCTGGCATTCTCACCTGCTGGGCAATCGTCTTCAAGCACTTTCTCAAAGAATTGTAAGCCTTCGTTTTCATTTTCCATGAAATATTAAATCGGTCAGGTGAAGGGGTTGCATTTATGAAACCAAAAAAGAGAGGGGGGGGGGGGGGAAGGGGTAGTGTAGCATATGCAGTGTTCCTTGAAAACAACAAAATAATTATCACACGGTGAGCGACTGTTGACGACTTAAGTTAAATCAGTTGGGGCCTTCTAGTAAACAAGCAGTCTAGTCACCACCAGGTTTAGAAACGAATGGCGTAGCATTAAGCCTCGAGCATCTTAATATGGTTTCTCAACAAACAAAACTTTGGCATCGGCAGACAAAAAACGCAGGACAAACGACGAACCAATGAGCGTGAAGATAAAGAGCGATGCCAAAACCACCTTTGTTGTAAATTGATTTTGGTCATCCTTGCGTCCACGAAGCGTGGTGTAACGCGCTAAACGTATTACGCATTTGCATTCCGTTTTGTTTTTTTCTTCTATTTTTCCACCTCAAAGTGACTGCGAAGAGGACGAAGAGACGCAGGAGAACATTGCCAAGATACTGGAGGACAAGTATCTCACTCTTGGGGGCATAAGGTAACGCGTATGGAGCGGTGTCAAAACGGAATGTATGTCGAGTTCAAGATAATTTAGCGCCGATATTTTTGGTGACAGTCTTTTTTTTTTAAACAACGTTTTTTTGAGGGAAGATGCAGAACAATTGTGTTTCACGTTAATTCCGTTTGCTGCTAACGCAACAAGCGAATGGGGCCAATGCGTTCGTCTGCTCTTTTCTTTTTCTTTTGCAAAGGATGTGGTGACGTCAAAACGACGCCGAGCTCTGATTGGTTCTGATTGAAGGATGGTGGGTAGACCTCAAGGCAGCTTGCCAATAAGGTACACCCACCATCCTTCAATCTGAGCCAATCAAAACTTGGCGTCGTTCTGACGTCATCGCAAATCCTGCAAAAGAAGCAGATTACTTTCTCTTCTCATTAAGCTTGTTGGAAAGCGATAAACGTTGGCACTTTTCGTGTTTCTATTACCGCCAACGGAGCCAATCAATTGCGAAGCGCGCGTGATAACGGCACGTGTTTAGTCCCTGCCTTTCTGTTTCGGTTGAAACTCAGATTTCACCCCGCTCTGACTTACGTTGAAACGGACTATAAACTGGATTGGATTACAAGCAACTAAATTGTAGAAACGTATTCCAGAATTATGTTGCGGTTTTTTTTTTGTTGTTGTTTGATGCAGCAAAGGCGAAGTATTCATCCTTGCCAGCCTGGTTGTCCTGTGCCTTCTGCTCGTCTTCCGCACATCCACCCTGGCACCGTTCGGATGGCAAGAGTTTATCGGCATTGAGTAAGGCTTGGCTTCATGTTTCTTGCTTTCGATAATTTGTTCTAAGCGTTCAAGATAACATAGTAAAAAAACGTTAAACTTCTATTTTCGGTCGTTTTCTTACATTTGTCGGCTTTCTTCCTTTTTTCGATCGTTCGACATCGTACATTTGCTTTACGGGGTTTAAAATATTGAAAATAACTTAATCTCGGCGGATTAAATTTTTCGCGCTTTTCATTTTGGGTAGTTGTATTTGTAATAATGTCACGGGTGGTGACCAAAAGAACAATAAATAAACAGGAAGAAATAAATGTTTAATGTGGCGAACTTGTGCCAAAAATAAAAGGGTACAAAAGATAGTAACAGAGCGTCGAAGTCGGCGTAACAGCAGAGTCGAACGCTGGGGCGAGACTGACTCCGCTCGCCTTGCGGAGTCCCTTATGTACCCTCGTTGGTTTCTGGATCATTCGGCGTAGAATGTTCGGTGCGAAGAACAATCGGAACACGATCAGGCGAGAATGTTTTCGACCTTACGAGAAGGCCAAGTTGAAAGAATAAATAAAATGACAGTCCACTGACTGGAATCGAACCTATACCTTCTGCGTGACAGTCAACCGCGGCAACCATTCGGCCACTCACGCGCTTGCTCGCCGACATGCGTGGCAATATTTAAAAAAAAGCCTGCATTTTTGTTACGAAAATGAGTCTCCCTGGGAATTATCTCGGCAGTATGTTCTTGGTGATGCACGATGGAAATACTGGCAAGATAACAACGAGGTGTCCGGTACAAATATACCCCTCTTCTTCGCAATGACGGGGCTTGCGATCTGTTTTCCGCCTTCAGTTTTGGAAACAGGCGACACAAAATGTTAAAACAGATCGATGAATATCTTAAAACCGTTGTCTTTTTACATATTGTATTAGTTGGTCTAGCCCCAAATATTAACAATGTGTTTCAAGAATCGAATAGCAGCGCGAGTCATTATTTTATTAATTAAAAAAACTAATTAACCGATCTTGCGTAATTACCCATCTTATAATGATGGTTCTTCTCCCATCTAATGTCAGCACAGTCCGATGCATATGCATGTCATGATCATTATTTTTTTTACAGCGGAGTTGTTAAGGGCTAGTTTTCCAGGATCGTGTCCGTCCTCAAATGACCTGATGACACAGAACTCTGAACAGCTACCGCCATCTTAAAGAGATATATACTGCAACGAAATTTCGGCGCTCATTTTTGGTATATTTGTGTTCAAAGCAGCAGTATCACATCGAACATACCAATATCTTGTTAAAAAAGTCTCGAAAAGTAATTTTAAAACGAATTAAACGATTAGCAAAGAGCACCTGGTGGATGTCGCTAACGCCTCGCTTGTAATGCCCGTCTAGGAACCTTGACAGCTAGTGACGGGGAGTGTCTCACCTCCAGCCACGACGAGAGAAGAGGGAAAGGAGGAACTCCCCTCTTCCCGAGAATGGCTTTTCTGTGTCGCAGAAGTCGCTATTGTCCCCCTACAAGATTATAGAAGATTAATTAACCCGCCACTCAAAATTCGTACAAAAGCAGCCGCTTCGGTGGCTGGACCGACTAGGCCATCCTAGTGACGGTGAGTGTCTCACCTCCAGCCACGACGAGAGAAGAGGGGAAGGAGGAACTCCCCTCTTCCCGAGAATGGCTTTTGTGTGTCGCAGAAGTCGCTATTGTCCCCCTACAAGATTATAGAAGATTAATTAACCCGCCACTTAAAATTCGTACAAAAGCAGCCGCTTCGGTGGCTGGAGCGACTAGGCCATCCTCTCGACGTCAGCCACGCCGTAGCTTTGCTCGTCTTGAGACGACCTACGTCAGGATTGCGTTGGATATCACATGGTCTCTGCTGGGCCTTCTCCGAGCGCTTGCCAGAGTGGGCCGTTTATAACGAAAAATAAAGCCACCAGGCTCAAAATACAAGCGTACGATTGTCTTTTACGGATATTGTGGATCATATTCAACCTATTTTTGAACACGACGGTAATATTTCAAATTTCGTTGAAGTATCCCTTTAAACGGCGGTGGAAACAAGACAACCGGTTTGTTGGTTGTCTGGTTGCCGCAGTCGCTCATAGATGGAGGCAACCTTTGTATCCTTTCCACTCTGGCTTGCGGACTTGCGGCCGGCCATTACTTCATTCCCACCATAGTACAGATTCGCTGGTCTTCCCTCACCAAATGGAAAGGCTGAAAGTTTTATTTTTAGCATTACTACCGGATGTCGTAGAAGAGCAAATGTCGAAAGTCTGGGTACTGTTGCGTACCGGACTGTCGCAATACTGAGAGAGAGAAAACAATATTTAAATCCAATCTATTTAAATAAATATAGAATATGCTGCCGAAAGCGAAACAGGGTAGTCCTATTTACTCAATCTTCGCTAAGTCGTATTTTTCATCCGAAAAGCACTCTTCAGTGGAAGGGCGGCTTATCAAAGGTTGAACACGCAAACCTAGAGACAAATATACAAATCTGAATTTCAACGAAGTTTGGCGCCCAAGAAACTCCAACTGCGTGAAAGAGGTAGCGTGAACAAACCATTCCCGGGTTTTGCTGGATTTTTCCCCTAACATAAAAGCTTTCTTACCAGCCCAAGACAAGGAACGATAAAAAAAACACTGGCACAACACGCACCCCAGCCTGCCTGTGTTTTTATTCTTTAACTAAAGCTTTCATCAAAACTATAGCAGTGTGTTGGAGTGTACTGGATGTTTGCGAGAAAGAGAAGCCGTGTATATTTGCTCCGTAAAACAAAAATATACCCATCGCCTAACATCTTCACCTAAATGTAGCACTAGCCGTTGGGACCAAATGCCAAAGCTTGAGAACGAGTTATCAAATTTAAAAGTTATAATCGATGTTTTAAAACTTGAGGCAATGAAATAGTGGCCTTTAGGGGCCGCGACAACATTGGAACGAATGGTATGTGCTGTCGGGAGTGGGCCGCGCTTTCTTAATTAAAAATACGAAGAAAAAAGAATTGCTTAAATGTGTAGAAATAAAGAAGGGTACGTTGGTTAAACCTTTACATCTGGTCTCAACCCCTAGCACTTCGTACATTTGTGGAGAGACTGAACCTTCGGTGACGGGTACTTTATTTTGCGGTGTGAAAACATGGTTTTGGTTTCTTCTGAACATCGTTACTTATTTAGAGTGACAATTATAGAATGCTCGTAACTACCCCGTTTGGGCAGTCGTGAAAACTTGACAGCGACCTTCATCTCCAAATTTCTATAATGCATGAAATGCAATATTTAGAAACGATCGTTTAATTAAACAGTCGCTTTGGGGAGTGAAGAACCTATGTTTTTAATAATTACCCCTCTAAATTTAGCAGAAAGGCTGACTTCGTACAAAGGTCCCGTCTCGTCAATTTTCCCGCTATGTTTAACAGGAAACTAAACTAGTGTAGAGGTCACGTGACGTCAGGTCACGTGATATAATATTTCTGACTAGACTTCACGGTAAGACTGAATTCACGTACAGGTCTCGTGACGTCAGGTTGCCTGACATCGATTTCCCCGCCAAAATTAGCGGGAAACGGAATTGGTGCTAGGTCACATTACGTCAAATTTTCCGCTAAAATATTTGGCGAAACTGAATTTTACTGTACGTCTCATGACATCAAGTCACGTGACATCAATGTTGCCACTAAATATAGCCGAAACCTGAATTGGTGCATATGTCGCGTCACGGCGATTTCTCCGCTAAATTTGGCTGGAAATGCGCAGACGGACGGACGGGCGGACATCATCTTGGGATTGGGGGAGTTTGTTAAACATCTTTCGTGCTTTAAAAAGCGCCGAAGTGGTGTTCACGCTAATTCTGTCACCCGGTGTAGCAGTAGGACCAATGATGGGTCATCGGGTGCTCATATCCATGTGTGATTCCGACGGCCCAGCGACGCCCGGGAAACCACGTGCGTGATGGCGGTCGTGCTCCTGTTCTTCGTGATACCCCACAACGCAAGGGTGAACCCGTTCGGGGACTTGTTCCTCGAATGGAACGTGGTGAACAGGAAGATACCATTCAACGTGCTCCTCACCTACGGAGGCGGGCTCTGCATGGCGAAAGCCATTCAGGTAAAAAAACACACACGCACACACACACATATATATGTGTGTGTTTTATATATTTAGTTTATTATCTATTTTCTTCTGCTTATCGCTTGCTATTATAAAAAATATGCCCATTTTCTTGAAAACGTTTGGATGGCATCGGATGAACATTGGGATCTGAATCGCTGCTAACTCAAAATATGTCTCGTGACGTAAAATTGTTCTATTTAAAACAAAAAAAGATGTACGCAGTATGCGTTTTTATTAGCCGAATTCCTCGAGAAAACCGTCACAACTAGCAACCGTCAGGCCAAATTCCCCGCTAAATTTAGCGCATAAATTATTGTCAATTGAAGTCAGTTTTTTTCGCTAAATTTAGGAGAGAAAATTGCTGTCATTAGGGAGTTTTCGTAGAGCGTTGTCCCACATCCGCTACGCTGTCCAAAATGAAGACGCCACTACTGCGCATGCGTGGCGCTAGCTAGCGTTGCCTGCACTGTTCCGGATCTTGTAGCGGCTTACGGAGAACGTCGCGGAAGAGCGAAAACGATATACGGAAACTCCCTACGACGTCAATTGCCCTACTAAATGTTGCGGTGAAGTTTACTTTATGTAAACACGTCATTTGACCTCGTTGCGTGACGTCAATTTATGCGAAGAGCTAGTTTGCGCTCCGCACATTTTGTGCTGCCCGGTCACTGTCATCATAATTACCGTTCCGTAATTCTTTCTTATTTTTTTACTTTTTTTTTCGGCGGGGGTTGGGGGGGGGGGGGGGAAGGGGGGTCAGTGTATTTTATGAGACATGCCACACCCAGGCACTTAACAAGATTTTTTTTTATTCTCCTTTGAAATTGTTCACATAATCCCAAACATGCATGCGATTATTTCTACAGTACAGCAAGCGGGCGCTTATCGCTTTGGAAAGTTAAAGACCCCGGTTTCGAGAATCCGTTCAGCTGCTGAGTCGTGCGGTCCCAATGATACGTGGTCCATGGGTGCGATTTTTGGGCGTAATTTTGCTATCATTTATGGGCCTCCAAATTGGTTCTCGATATTTCAGGTTTGGAACTACTAGAAACCGCGTGAATATTGTCTGGTTAATGCAATATTACTATTTATTAAATTCAATTTTTTTTTTTTTTTTTGATGAGTTAAGTATACAGAGCGCGGCCGGATACTCAAAACTAGCGCAGAAGTAAAGCAAAAGCTAATTAAGTTTCTTCGAAGAACTGATGTATTTGCACCAAAGTTTTTATATAGGAATTCCAATCTATACTTTTTAAGCCCATTCTATACACCATTTGCATCAATGACAGCCTGCATATGGCTCCGAAAGCGTCTGCAAGCCTTCATTATGGAATCCTGGTTGAAGTTGACCGTCACATTCGCAATGGCAGACTTCAACGAGTCTTTGATAGTGTAAGCTTGCTTCCTGATCTCTTATTCAACAACGCCTCACAAGTAATGGTCGAGCGGGTTTACGCCAGGAGAGTTAAGAGGCCACATGAGAGGCGTCAGGTGCTCGTGGAAATTTTAAGCCAGTCACTCTTGTGTCAAAGAAGCTAGGTGTTCAAGATGAGTGTCGTGCTGGAAGACGTGCGACCGCCCCTGTGTGATATCTTCAACCTAAGGCTTCATTACCTTCTTCAGCACCTTAACAAACTCAGTGGCGTTTACTCCAAGGCCTTAAGGGAAAATATGAGGCTGCATGACATGAACCTCGTTGCTTACAATCCTCATCAGCACAATAACAGATGATGAAAATTTTTGTACATAACAGTGATGACCTCTGCAATTCTAGATCAAGTCACTTGTCATTTTTTTTTTTAAGTTTACCTTCCGATCTTGGAAGTAGTTCTCTCGCCTGAAAAAAAAAAAAAAAAAAAAAAACCAAAGCATGCTATTTGTTTTTTTCGGGAGGCTTGTGTTTGTTAAGCAGGCGTTTCGACTGAATAAGGGGACTCCGCTGGTGTTTGTCGTTCATGAGCTACCCCCTTCTCATAATGTAGGACTCGTACCAAATGTCTTCGCGAATCACATGCCTGAGCGTACCCTCATTCACTTCAAGTTGCTTCTCAATGGCCCTTATTCGCTTGAATGGTCATCATCGACCACTTTCTAGACTCGGTCGACAAAGTCAGCCGTCCTAATGGTATCTGATCATCGGAAATGCCTCTGCCTTTTCGACAAAACATGTCCCCTTCTGAGTCGAGCATTTTTCCCGACGTTAAATAAAATTATCTTGCCATATTAACAAAAAGTAGCAATCTTGGAATCATTGTGTTCGGCGGCAACTGTGACGACTATGGTTTACCTTGTTGTCGGTTTGCCTTGCTGCTTAACCGGCCCGGAGGAATAACATGGAGCCAGCGGTTTCAACAACAAGAAACTACATTTAATTGGACATGGACGAGGCGATCAATACACTGCCATCATTACCAGCGACGTTTAAGTCCAGGCAGCGACTGCCTGCGCGCCGCCTCAGATCCGCCTTATCGAGGCGGCGCGCGCGATGTGGCGTGGCCGGCTTGACTCCGCCGACACGCGGGAAGTTCGCACCTGTGCCCGTAGTCGGGCAATTGTGCTGGGGAGCCGCCAGGGTGCCACTACGTCTTCATTTCCCGCGTGAGGCTGGAGGCGGCCGTCCTGACTGGAATACTAGAGAGATGACATACGGACGCTGCTGAATTGGTTTTAAGATTTACTGCCGAATGCAGTTATTTTATGATCATTTATGGCCCGCGAAATCTGTGTTCTCAAATACACATGTGATTATTCCAACAGTACAGCGAGCGAGCGCTTATCGCTTTGGAAAAATAAAAACCCCAGTTTTGAGAATATTTGAGAATACAAATATTAAGAAAAAAAAACACTGTTAAGTTTGCCGCATTGATACGCCTGGCAACTCTGTTCCTGGTCGCCCGGCAAGCTGCCCGCCACACAGGCCAGCACCAGCGCTGTCAGCCGAACCTTGGCAACATTAGCAATACGCATGCACCGACGCGGGAAGAGTCTTCCTTTTTGTAAGACATGATTTCTGTTTTGAGTTGTGTGAATTCTCAGTACAGGGTCTTCTACGGAAACCGTGCGAAACATGCGCGATACGCAAAGTCACATAAAATTTTGCATTTTCAGCGTCCGTGCGCATCACATCAAGTAGCTCATTATCAGAACAATACCTCTAAATGATGCCAAGAAAACCCACAAAAAATTTCCGCTGGTTGATCGACATACGACTGCCTATGACTACAGAGCTTCGCATATGACTGGAGGGAACCCTATAAGGATCCATAAAATTTACACGTATCACAACAGTCGTGAAATCACTGTGGGTCATCCACGCATTCTGTTATATAGACGGGTTTATACGGATGCCACGAACAATAACTGTGGGAGCGCTCCATGGGCATGCGTTCCCTAAAAAAAAGTTAAAGTTGCAAGTTCAGCTTTTCATTCCGACCGATAGCAAGTGGCGATACTTGAGCCACCGCGCACCGGTTGTGGATTATCCTAAATGTCAGGTTCTCTCCTCCGCTGTTTCATCTTATATATTTCGAATGCGGCGCTCGCCGTTAAGAAACGCATTTTCTAATGCTACGTTCTTGAACCTGTACCTGAGACCCCCACACGTTGCAGGGACTTCTTCAAATAGATTCTCAACAGTCTTCTTTCTAAGTCCAGTCCGTATACAGCAGGGTACTAAAACCGTAATTATTAAATTAAAAAAAAAAACGCATTAAATTCTTTAAGAAAAAAAAAAGAAATACACTTATCAGCATTACGGTATAACTATAGTCCGTTTTATTGCAGCCAAAGCTACGATCTGATGGGGCTAATCAAGTACCGTCAATAATGCACCATCACGGCGCTCGTTGCGTTTCTGGGTTTACTACATCACCGGTTAAAGCAATCACGCATAAAAAGAGCGCAGGATCGTGGAATATTCTCTCTGCTTGATTTGTTTAGCCGGAAATAGCAAGCGCACCAAGACGGTCGTGACGACGCACTTTTGTCGCTGGTTAATTGCCTCCACCGTATCGTTGCGTCGACATGCAGTCGGACTTAAACGGAGTATATAGAGCAACTCAACTCACGGACGTTACGCCACTGTGGTGGCGCTGCTGTCGGTACCGCGCATGCGCAGATGCTTCGCTCCTCCCGAATGGGGTTTCGGCGCACGCGCAGTGCCCATACCTGGTGCGGGGAAAGCGGGCTTGTTTGGAAACAATGGGTTAGTCTACATGGAGCCGAAGATTGAGCATACATTGGTGACGTTATCCTCGGGCGATTTTCCTTAAGAAACAAAACCAAAACGGTTCTGTATTCGTGAAAAAGGAAACGCTTAAAATACTCTTCATTTGGCCTCCAGGTACACGAATGTCAAAATTGTATTTCAGATGAATGCGCCACGTGTACCCGCAACAGCGCTCTCAATATAGCGACGAAATAGCGCCCTGCTCGTTCGGAGGGAGGAGAGAATCGTGACGTATAATAGAGACTCGTGCAAATGGAGCATGCTGGTGAAGTTACGGTGTTAGAGGTGAATTGCATAATGTGTCTTCCTGTCCTCGGCATTTATGAAATTCTTCTCTAACCCTAGAGATCTCGCCATTTACCCACATTCTGCGAGTCTTTACGCGAGCAGTCAGTCAAAAGCGCTGCACGGGTTCTCTTATGAGCGGCGAGCGCGAGGCAGTTGAAACCTCTATGCATGACGTCACACCAAGTGTTCGGTTTTTCTCCCGTCTATCGATACGTTCGGACCAAATGCTAGTGATATTAAAATTCACGGGACACAAATACTCTAAAATTCACCTCTACCTCGTATCTCCCTTTTTTTAAACTTTTTTCAAGAACTTCCTTAGCTACTTTGTAAAAAAAAAAAAAAAAAAAAAAAGAACTAAACGAATTCTTTTAAAAAGACCTTTCAGCTTTTTTACTTTGCTTAAGAAGGAAGACCAGCCAAGCTGTACTATGGTGGGAATGAAGTAATGGCCGGCCGCAAGTCGGCAAGCCAGTGGAAAGGCTCAAAAGGTTGACGCCATCTATGGGCAACGGCGGCAACCAGACGACCGGGAAGCCGGTTGTCTGGTTGCCGCCGTCGCTCATAGATGGCGGTAGCTGTTCAAAGTTCTGTGCCATCATTTGTTTGCTGACGGACACGACCCTGGGGAAACTAGGCCTTAACAGCACCACTGTAAAAACGATTTAGACGTGAACTCTACAGTATTTCTGTCCCGATAATTTTAGTATCTCTAGAATTTGGCTCGAAGCCTTCAATAGACGCGAGAAAAATCGAAACACCAACCATTGGGTGTGACGTCATACTTAAAGGTTTCAGATGCCTTGCACGTACAGCCTGCGGAAGAACACGTGCAGCGCTTTTGACTGCTCGGGTACGGCTGGCGGAAGGCGCGGAGATGTTAAGAACTCCGTGTAATACTTCACCATTTCCTCGTCCCACCAAACGCGCCGGGAAGGAGGCGCTTCAATGCTATTTTAAAAGCGATTTTGTGGCTGCTTGGTGCGTCAATCCCAAATACAATTCTCATATTCCTGATCCCAGAGTCCCCCCCCCCCCCCCAAAAAAAACAAAAATCTTATGTCTGTTTTTTTTTGTTTTTTTTTCTCTTAAATACAACAGACCGCTTTAGTTTCCTTTTAAGCCTGCAACACAGAGGTAACTCTATCTTTGTTCCATACCACCCCAACTCAAAATCTGCGCACGTCCAATCTCTCTGCTCCGCAGAAGTCCGGCATGGGGGCGTGGCTGTCCGGTCTGATGATGGCAATGCGCTCCTGGAACCCCATCGTGGTTCAGGCGGTGCTCATGGTCGTTACCACCCTGGTCACGGAGGTGAACAACGACGCGGCCACCGCCAGCGTCCTTATACCCATCGCCTGCGACCTGGTGAGGCTCCACTGTGGAGAGCACATCGGACGAGCGCACGAAGCTGCGTTAATGTACTACTCTGGTCAGCTTCGAAACGTTTGTAATATAATTGATATCAGTGAAGTTATTTTAAAGTGTTGTAATTGTTTTTTTCAAAAATATATTTATATACATTTTTTTTTGTGAATGTTATTTTAAACAAAACCGCAAGTGGAAGTCGAACTTTGCTCATTTGGGTTCAAGGTTGGCGTCCCCGTCCCCGCACCTCTTATATAACAAGGCCTTATAGACTTATACTGCTGGAGATGCTACATCACCTGTCGGTGGCCAACTCAGGCCACACGTTTCAAGGCCTTATAGGCTTATACTGCTGGAGTTTCTACATCACCTCTCGGAGGTGGCATAAGTTGTACACAAACGCTGTGTCAGCGTTTGTCTGGAACTCGTGCTTTAGTGCAGCATTACGGCAGCCTACCGTCGGTATGCGTTCCTTCCGCGCTCTAAAGAGCGCGTGCTTCGAAGGTTCAGCGCGAACTTCTGGTCGCTGTGGCGCTCCGCACAACAAACACGTATGTTAAAGATGCCAAATGACACCGCGGCTTCCTACCGAACACTCACGCAGCTCGCATGAACCCATGTCCAATGTGTGTCCCGCGTTGACCTCCGGATGACGGCGTGGAAAATCCAGCACTATGCCGTCTTGTTAGCAGGTGTTCCTTCACCCCATCACGTCATTACCTCGTGACGTCATCGATGTAGATCATACCTGTGCGCTTTAGAAGATTGCGCTTTTCTCAGTGCGTGAGGACCTTCAGTTGCCAATTTAATAATCAGAAATGCCTCGGTTTAATGCTAGTCATTTTGGACATTACACTTAAAGAACTGCACTGTTTTTACATCATGAAGTGAAAAGTGCCGCTCTTTAAAATGAAGTACGTTTGCGGACACTATGCGGCGAGAAACTAAGGGAGAGGAGGAAACGAGACGGACGTCAGAACGCCGAGGTCTTGTTCGAATGACTAGTGGGACCTAAACCTAGCTGCCTTTGCCTCCCCTGCTCTCGTCGAACGAGTTCGAATGCAAGAGCCAACTATGGACGCCGACGTTTCGCGTTCTAACGGGTTCGGCGGGTATACATTAGAGACAAAGGCAGCCAGGTTTAGATCCACCCGCTCATCATTCCAACCATGAGCCCTGCGTTATAACGACTCCGCGCGCTCTCGTCTTCCCCTCTCGTTTAGTTTCGCGCCGCACAGGAGTTGCACCAGCCTTTGGTGCTTCTTTGGCGTATACCTGACTAGGGATGGAACACAAAGGGTAGGCCTCACTCTTTCATCAGTTTGACAAGTGGAGAGATAGCCTATCTTGGGGGTGGGGACCGAAAGCGTAGCAGAAAGCCGGATCGAATGTTGCAGCTCATCTCGTCAAAGAGTGGGTTCGTGTTGTTAACCGCAGAAGCACTTCCAGTGATTGCCACGAGCATGCAAAGTATCGATAAGCGACCAGGTAAAAATAAAGCTTATCGGGAAAATGCTGAAAGGAGAAGAAAACGAATTGTCTCAAAAATATAAAACGGTTGGATGTTTTATCTTACCTGAAAGCCTGACGCCACGTTTTTTTATAATCAACCGGAAGGAACCGGCCAGAAATGCGCACAACGCATATTCACGAATACAGGTATGTGCACGCCTACGCGCCCGGACACACACTAAAATTAAAAATGTAAGCAAGAATTTGCACGCACGTACACACATACACACACGCACATGCCCTCACTGCCTCGCGTGCAGGTAAATTACATATTACTGGGCAAAAGTGGAACCTAGATATTACAAAGATTACGTGAAAAAGTAATGATCCTTTATATCTATAACGAGTCGACTGCCTGCTGTAAAATCTTGACTTCCTGCAAACACATCGCGCCTGCATACTCGTCTTTTTTTTTCTTTTTTTTTTAACACTCGCACGCAGGCGCGTGGAGGCACGCACTAAGAAAACACAAAGACTTTCTCGAGCCTGCTCCAAACTAGTTTGCTTAATCGCGAGTTTTAGAATAGCTTTATCCAAAAGCTTTCGAGAAATATCCTCGTCGTTCTTGCGACATCGTTTTGGGCTCCTCGATAGCGCAGTGGATTCGGCGATTTTTTTTTTCGTACGGAAAGCTTTTGCGTACGCTTTTTTTTTTTTTTTAACTTGTTATTGACTCCCTAAAAACACGGAAAGCTCAGTGCGCTCTTCAAAATGCCACATAAATTATTTTGACCAGAACTACTGTAATATCCCGAGAGATTTTCCACCCGAGAAAGACAACCCACCCCTATTTTTGGAATGATTTGCTATTCTTTCAAAAGCACCGAAGCCCACCTTTGTTTTAAAATACATCTTTTGCGCATGGGAACGCAATAAGGGGCACGCCAAACAAATGGCAACACAGAAAACACGTATAGAATCTGCAATTACGAGGCAGCCAAGCTCGCGCCGTCATTGGTAGCGGTCGGAGGAAATGAGAGCGCTTGGGCGCAGTAAACAAACGCACGAAGTGCGCTGAGCGGCAGACAAACGTTCACGCATTATTGACCATCGCAGTAATCGCCTTCCGTACGCTTCTAACTCCGTCGTCTACAGAGCTGTGGAATGCGCTTTTAGCATGCGCAGTAGCGCTCTTCTGCGTATTATTGGACACCGGGCAAGCGTCCACAGCCTTCGGCATTTTGCCCTGGGTGATAGGCGCCGAAATGTAGTATAGACCCTTTTCGAAATACTGCCCTCTGTTGGCAGCTGTGGGATCCCTGCACAATGGCGGAACAAAAACCGCAACGTCATGGCACACTTTATGGGTTGGGTTGGAATAGAAGAAAACCGACACCCATAGAAAAAGATGATGAACGCAGTGACGTTGCACTTTCGTAGGCAATTTGAGTGGCTCGTAGGCTCCTATCGTTGGCGGCGCTCCGACGTTCGCTACCTCATGAACTGACTGGCACGTTCCACGATGTCAGTTGTTCAGCCATTTTGCAGGGGTTCTGACCTTCGAATAATCGGCACGCGAATTTCAAAAGGGGTCTATAGCGATGTCATATTTGCAATGTTCACGTGAGAGGGGCGTATACCTTGTTCAATCTGCAAAGCGATGAGCGTGGGTATGCAGTGTTGTGAAGTTTGCCTGCTGGGCTGTGGAATTTTAAATGTTACGGCATACCGTGTCAACGGCAAAACTTCAGTCCAGGTCCTCGTCCTCTCGCAGGCCGAGTCGTCTCGCGTGAACCCGCTGTACTACAGCTTCCCGGTAAGCGTGGCCTGCTCGACGGGGCTCCTTCTGCCGGTCGCCTCCGTGCCCATGGCCCTGGCGCACGAGGCACTCCTCGGCTACGAAGCCAGCAAGATGGTTGGTAGAGCCCGCGCTGCTCGTCGTTCGCTTGCGCTCGGATCCTTTTTCTCGCTGAAATTCTACTCTGCACGAAACGTCGGTAGCTACTTGAGGTTTTCCAGACGGTTGTTGCCTGTTGCCTGTAAGTAATAGATGGTTTTCAAAGATGTACTGCCATCTGGTGGCCCAAAAAGCACTTTCACTTTCGACAAACTAATATTGGACATAAAACTATTTCTACGGGCATTGTTACTTTGGTTTAGTTTCTAAGGCGTGAACCTAAGAACTAGCCAGTACAAAGTTACGACTCATAAACACCGTGATTAAAATTTCTCCCATCAAAAATCTTTCAAACCTAAGTTGTGCGAAGAGAACCACACTTCGAAATAAACACTTACGCAACCGTTGTTTCTAATATGTTGTACTGACGCCTGGAACGCACAAGCCTCATAAAACTTCAATTTGATAGTATCTTCACCCTCTTCCTTCAAAAGCCTTAAAGCGGTCATGAAACGTTATCAGGTCGGAATGTTCATGACTTAGCAGAGGCGTACTGGTCCTATATAGTCAGGCCAAAGTGTGCTCGCACAGACCGACACTGATTGAAAAGCTTGGTTGTCGCGGTGAATTGACGAGGGTAAAAGGGGACTATTTCTTTCAGTCTTGCCTCAGCAAAACTTGATGACGTAATTGTAGGATCGAAATTACACGCCTCACGAAAGTCGAGTGCGGCTCGTAGGTTGGGCACGAGAACTGCGTGAGCACCCGACTTCGGCTCCAATGAATCAATGCCTCGGCGGACACTCAGGTAGCGACTCGTGACAAACCACTTCGGCGATGAGAATAGCCGAACTCTAACGATGCCTGGAGCTCAGGTCGCGTTTTCTACTTCGCAGACCCCAGCGCGTGGCTACGATTAACGTTGTCGGCATAGGATGGGCACCAGGCCACGTCGCCGCTCGTTCTGGCTCCAAGTTGATGGGACGAAGGATGCTCATATTTCTCGAATTTTCGAGGTAGTTGCCATTGCATTAAAAAAAAAAAAAAACTAGGGCAAGTTAATTGAGTTATTAGCGCCAGGGACGGATTCTAAGCAGTATTTAGCGAAAGTAGAGAAATCGTTTCATAGCCGCTTTAAGGAGGCCGCCGTTAGTATCGCACAGATGCCATACACTTGCTGGGTTCGACTAAGCTGCACCAGCCTGCGCCGGTACCGAAAGGTGTAGCACGGTGCAGAGATGTGCAGGGTTCCACTCGTGTTCTTGGATATGCTGTACTCGTAAATCAAATACGGCGGTGTGCGCGAAGTGAAGCCGGTGGACAAGGTGTGGATACCGTATTTTCCGCACCCGGTGTATAGTCCGCAGGGGCGAATTCGGGGTCAAGAATAGAAGTTTTTGCTTAGAGAGTTCGCACCCGGTGCATAGTCCGCACCCGGTGCATAGTCCGCACCTGGTGGTTAGTCGACTCGAAAATCTTATCATACACGGCATCCCCTGACAGGTGTCTGCTTTCTTAGCTCGCGAAGAAGTTTGTATTATACATGAATCATCATTAACAATCTCTTCCTTGCACATAATCTGTCGCGTTTCGTAATAGTGAACAATTTTGAAAGACAAAACTCCTGTTTAACCCCCATGCGTAGATAGTCCGTAATGCTTAAAATTTCTACTTTTAATCCATGGCCTCCGAGATCCCGAAGCGCGCGCGCGAAGGCCGAAGCGTTCGCGCGCTTCGGGATCTCGGAGGGCATGTTTAATCATGTGTGGTAAAGGAGCAGGCCGGCGGCGTCGCCTCTTTCGCCTATTCTTCGTAGAGAGCCCAGATTGCAGAGAGGGCTCAACTCAAACCATGAGGAGCGTTTGCAGTTTAAGGGGGGACTCCTCCATCGGAGATTGGTCGAAAGTGCGCATGCGCTGCGTTATCGCAGAACCATATAAGAACTACATAAGAGTTATATAAGATATATAAGAGCATATAAGAAATTTTCACAAGTGTCACATATGGATTTTATAGGTTCTTACATAAATAGTTCTTATAGGCTTCTTATATGGTTCGTATATGTTCTTGTAGATCTTGTATGATTCCTATGTGTTTATTGGATATAAATTTCACACACAAATGAGATTTTTTTATAGGGGTGTGGATAGTGTGCACTTCATTGTTGCGACGGGATTTAAGATTCTTACAAATTCCGCAAGAATTTTTTTTTTTTTTGTGACACAAAACATGAGCGAACGTAATCCGAATGCAGCGGCTAAAAATGACCTGCCGAAGAAAAATGTGTTTGCCGCTAAGGTCGCTCTGGTCAAGGCTTGATTTATGTGCGCTTCTTTCCTATAGTCTGCGGTCTATACTCGGAAACACGGTAAAACGAAGGAAGCAACTCAGATGCAGGGGACTAGAAACACTCAGTGGAAAAGCGACGGCCTTCTCGTGAGGAACATCGTGTTGAACCTACAAATTGGCGCTCTTTTGCCGGCCTCACCTCGCCCGCATATGGCAACGCGAGCCTGTGCCAAATGTACCCGTCTTGATTTTTCTTTTTTCTGTGTGTGTGTGTGTGCGCAGCAGGGAAGCAGGGAACATTGCGAGCAGCACGAGCTCAACGGGGTTTCGATACCAGCGCCACGCGCGACTTACAACACCCTCGGCTTCGCACGGCCGATGAGGCACTGCCGCTGCATTTTCCGCAGTTCTAGTTCACTGTAGCCGAGATTATGTTAGTGAACAAAGTTGCCAGACTGAATTTCGAGGAGGGTATATAGACCTTTTTGCTAAATTACCTTAGCACCGAGGGTCCGAGGATAATACTGAGGACGTAGGTACCCTCGTGCACGAACTCGCCTATCAGTATAAAACATTTGAAGTAAATAGTCAAAATAATAGCACGTGCAAAGTGCCCTTAGCTTTAGTACAGTCCCTGCCGCAGACGCCAGCATGTGCATCGCTCTAACTACGCTCAGAAGAGCGTGCTCATTGGGACCCGGATAATTTAGAAAAATGTTATTTGTGTCTTGTATAATGTAAACTTGCGGCTCGTATTACAAAATAATGGTACAAGCATGCCGTTGTCATTATGTATGACACTGGCATTTTGTCATTAATATGACAGCCTGGGATAGAAATTAAAAAAAAAATCTGAGGTATAAAAAAAAGTTCAGCAGACATCGGATCATATATCAAGCGTTTCAAACTTAAACTAGAACATAGTACCAATAGGGTGGTTTATAAGAAAAGAAACTCCTTTCGGGAACACAGCCACGGCGCATGGCGGACGGCATGAATTGCATAAAACATACAAATTAGCTCAATCCTAAACTACAGTTTACAAATTAATCTTTCTAAATAGTGAAAATAAACGGTAGAACCTTGAAGCCATCGCGTTCTTAAACAAGCACTTTGACAGACTGTCATTTTTTGTGACATTGTTCTTATTTCTGCCTATGAAATTAGAACTAAGCCCAATAGAGACGTCCTGCTGAGCGTTTGTACAATCGTGGGAAGCAGTAGGAGGGAAAACCAACTAGAGCGACGCTTTTCGTGGCAACGTCACCAGTAGCTCACGTGCACGCGTATAGTTTTTACTTCGTTGCCACAGAAAGTTGCCCTCAATTAGAGGCTATCTGTTAGTTCCTGTCATTTCAGAATACTCCCAATCGCTGGTAATGAGTGCTATTGGAAAGGCTCACCAATTCATACATGCTCATTATTAAAGCTTGGAATGCTTTTTAACGCTTTGTTGCATGTTGCACTCTAAATAAAAGGGTGTAATATACACGTCAAAGCTTCAGTTCGACGTACCGCGCACTGCCGTCGAACTGACGGTACCAACTTTCACGAGAGGCTTGATAGCCGTGTGGTACAACTATTTAAAATATTTAAAGTGCGTGCTACTGGCTAAAAAAAAATCTGGGTTTTCTTGGCCCTACTGAAAAATCTCAGTGTTTTGTTTCTGTGGTCTTTGATACGTACTTTAGCTATTTAAGAAGTTATATCGCACCGTTATCAAGCCCCTTGTACGATTTGGGGCCGTCTGTTCGACTATAGTGCGCTGTAAGTCGAACTATATTTTTGGAGTGCATTATTTGGGACAAAGGGGTGTAAGGTGATACCCTTTTTTTAGAGTGTGGGTCATATACGTGTAGCATATGCCAGTAAAGTAAAACATCCTCCAGTAACTCAAAAGCTGTTTCGCATCTCTATAGAATGCCCAAGGCGTTCGTACTTATCGTATATTTTGTTTACACTATGCTGATTCGAGTATGCGCCAGATATGACACAACATGCAGTTCACTACAGAAATAGTAAAAATACTGTAATCGTGATTACAATTCCTCAAAATATACTACAGTTACCTCATTGGCATCAACTTTCTTAATCATGTGTTGATGTTTTACAGAATATCCATAAGGTCAAATAAAATATATTATGATTAGCATTACTCCATGTCCAGCTGGCATTAGTAAACTATTGGGAACGTTGAAGGTGCAGGAAGCGAAAGGGTATGGCGTTATATTCTAATTACGCTAGCGTTCTTAACTGTCGTTATGCCAACGACAGTTGACTCAATCGCGATCGGCCGGAGTTACACGGCGGCGCCAACTGTCACAGAGCCGTTAACGATCATTGAGTTCAACTGAGCTGGCCTACCTGATAGCATCCTCGATCATCCACACCGGTGCGCACCGGGGCAGCGAGGTTCGCCCCATCGTCTTCGATCAAGTGCACCGGTGCGCACCGCATGTCCTCGATCAACGGAGCGCACCCTCCCGGTGCGGCTTTTTGTTGCACCAGCGCGCACGTAGAAAATCGACGGTGCGCCCGGGTGCAGTCCCATCAGGCATTACGGCTAGGAGCGGGAATCGAGGAGATGGCGGGAGTAGCAGACGCGCAGTCTATCGAGATGGTGATCTTGCGAAAACGAACACGCCTCGCAGCTGCACTCGATGAAACCCTTAGCTCTTCTGAGAGCGAGACGACGAGATTCCTACCATCACCGCGATTACCGGCGATTGCTGCGGTGGCAAGGAGCGCCCTAAAGGTATGAACTTCGTGGAACGCGTCGCGAGGTGTTTCGATGACACCGAGGTACGGCTATCATCTGGTGTTTCTCTTTCTTGAACAATGATGGGCAACATATACCTGTGGAACTGTCATCCGCTTCGTGACCTCATCAACAATCACGACCACGATGTTCATTTGTGTGGCACCGTGAAATCCGCGAATAAAAAAACAGGGGAAATTGATCGCAAACAGGCACCGCGCGCGGTCCCACGCAAGATAAAACGAACAAAACGCGACGAGACGCATGGTGGAGCTCGCCGCGGTGCACCGGAATCTACACCGGCGCGGCACAGTTTGTCCTCGATGTTGCACCGACTTCGCGCTGCACGACCGAGGAGCGCTGTGCACTGTCCTGGTACCAGGGCAATTCCGGTGCGAGTTGATCGAAGATGCTATGAGTTAAGTGATGGAGTCCACCCCAATAAAGCTTAATATGCCGGTGTCCGACTCATTGCCGCCCATGGCCAGCGCTAGCGAAGCACTTACTATTGCAGAAAATTGGGCGATAAATCTAGAAAGTATCGTAGCAGCAAATATAGTCGGAAGAAGTGCGATTCAGGGCCAGAGCTGCTGCTAGAACAATCATAGCACGTCGCAGAAGCCAAAGCTCGGCGAGGTCGGCCATTGTGATGTCGGTCCTGATAAGACTTTTGCTATGTCTCTCCTGGTTTAATTCGTGTTAAATGTTCTGACTTTACTCTAAAAAAAAAAAAAAATTTCATTTTATTTTGTTTTTTACGTTTAGAATTAATGAAAAGTGTTTGGTTTTGTTTCGGTTTCAACTGTGTCCCGTGACGCGCATATCAACTAGGTTTGTTAGGCCTATGTACCGTGTAACACCGGACAACTTAGTTGAGCTCAATGACAGTTGGGAGATACCAACGATTGTTGGTGTAATGACAGTTGAAAGGGCTAGTATAACTAGGATATTAGCCGACTTGAGGTTGCAAGTAGCTGGAACTGCACAGCTAAAACACTCGCTTAGAGAAAGAGAGAGCCTAGATAATCAAAAACCTGCTTGGTACAGCAGCTACGGTACCTAAAGATGTACAACCTAAACGTAAAACCTCCCCATCCGGATAAAAGCTGAACCACAGTGTATTTCCCTAGTGCAAAACGAAATTCTTTGTGCCTTGCCGAAAATTCGATGGCGCTGTCTGCTGCAGCAAAAACAGAATTAACACTTTGTGTTAAATGCAATGCATTATACGTTCTACGATCTATAGTTTTTGCACAACATACATTTATCAAATGTATTCGCACGACCAATAAACGCTTAAAGAATACGCAACTTAATCCAGTTTTATGAATTTATAATATCACTTGGTTTTAATAGAATTATCGCTACTGCATATGGTGTCATACGATATTTGAAGAAAATCTGTTTTGAGCACTGCTCATATATAGCGACAACCTGTTTCTTTTACTTCCTTTTTCTTTTTGTCTGAGCCAAAAAAAAAAAGTATGCAGTAGAGGGTTAACGTAATCCCTGAATACCAGAATTTTATTCGGCCAGCCACTTGTCCGTCCCTCCGTCAGCCATGTAACTCGACGCCAGGACACGGGACTTGGCGTCACGTAAAATATTTCTGCAAAATGTAGCGTGGAAATGTATATAATGTTTTCTTCACTCTCTGAAACGACTCTCTATTACCTTCTAAAGAAATGTAAATCATTGCTCCATAAATGCTGCATTCCATGCAATATAAGGACTGATAGCTGAAGAGCGGGTGGGGGGGGGGGGGGGGGGGGGGGAGTGCGGGTCAGAATTGAAGAATAAACATGCGAGAGAAGGAAAGCACAACCTCACGTTGCCTTGCCTTGTCTTATCTCCTTTCACCTTGTTTTCCCTTGTTTTGTGCCATGTCTGACATATTTATAATGTTTTTTATCCTGGCAATATAAGACTTTGCGGATAATGGTCGCTAGTATGTTGTGTCATTTGTTTTCTTCGCAGTTTGTGCCCGTGGTCATCATCAAGAGCGTCACGGTGCTGGCCATCTTCGTCTCGGTTCACACCACCGGAGGCTATTACTACGGCTTCAACATTTACCCAGAATGGGCGAACAAAAGCTCCAATAATACAAATCCAATCCAATAATACAAATAATACAATTAAATGTAAAGCAAAGTGTTTATCCAGTGAAAGTTCACTAGAAGTTTGTTTTTGTTATGCTTCTAAGTTATAAAAAAACAGGATAAAAACACAGGCAAGCTGGTGAACCAATTCCACAAAATTTAAAGAAAGAATGAGAATTTTGTTTTTCTAGATCTCGTTATTGATACCGAGGTGTTTCCGGTGTTTATGAATTTAAAGAACACTACGAGTAGAGATGTTGATGATAACCAGATTAAGCCAGTAAATTATGTTCTAGACATTATAACACCCTATGTAACATATATTTTCAACTTGTGCATATCGACAGGAATATTTCCTGTGCGTATTCAAGTAGCCAAGGTTTCCGTTCTGCACAAGAAGGGAGATAGGAATGACATTGATAACTATAGACCTGTGGCAGTACTGCCAGTCTTTTCAAAGGGACTTAAAAAGGTTATCCATACCTGCTTGTCTAACTTTTTTGACAAACATAAGCTAATTACAAGATCACAGTTTGGATTCAGAAAGCATAAATCAACCGAACTTGCCTTACTTGAAGAGAAAGAATTTATTTTAAGGAATCTCCAGAAACGAAAACTAGTACTTGGTATGCACGTAGACTTTACTAAGGCGTTTGATTTTCTAAACCATGAACTATTATTAAAAAAGCTGGAATATTATAGAACTCGCGGACAAGTTTTAACTTTTCTTCAATCCTAGCTTGGAAACCGCAAACAATACGTTTGTTGTAATAATTTCATTTTCCCAATCAAATCGGTAATATCGGGCGTACCTCAAGGCAGTGTTTTAGGACTTTTTCTTTTTAACGTTTATGTCAATGATATTGTGAACATTGACCAGTCAACTAAATTTGTTATAATGCTGGGGATGTGACGCTTCTTTTTACTGCTGGTAAGGCACATCAACTTATATCTAAGGCCAACACAGTACCAGATAAATTAGGAGAATGGACCCTTAAAGCGCTTTGAAAATAAATACCAATAAAACAAAAGCTATGATATTTAGGTCGAAAAATAAAGATCTTTCTCCATTAGAACACATTTATATAAACTCGGCAAATATTTAATTGGTTGAGTCATTTAAAACGCTTGGCGTTGTGTTTCACAAAATATGCCACAGGACCATCATATTGACTATTTAAAAAATAAATGAGCAAAGGTTGTAGGTCTGTATATCAGATTCGATATATATTTACCAGGTCGGTTAAATTACTTCTGTGTAAATCTCTCTTTTTCGCTCATTTAAATTACTGCCACCTGGTTTGGGGTACTACCACGGCAACAAATATTAAGATGATACATTTACTCCAAAAACGAATGTTACGTACAATCGCTAATGTGCCGTTCTGCACGCATACAGAAAATCCCTTCCGAACATATACTATATTTAGTATCTGCAACATGTATAATTATAGGGTTTTTACAATGTAAAAACATGAATTCTGCAGTAACCGTACTTACATAATTGAACTGTCTGGTTTAAACCAACGCGTTCCCAATTATCATTTTCGAAACCCTGAACACTGGAATGAACCTACTTGCCGATTAAACCTAGGAAAATAAATATTATGCTATAGATTATCTAAAGTGCTTAATTTTTTATTCACAGTGATGTTCACGTAGACACCATCAGCATGAAACAATTGCGTGCGTTGATGTGCCATTTTGTTGTAGACGACTAATATTTTTGGTGCGCGTGTGTGTTTTTTAGTTCTCTCTCGCCTTGTCACTGCTGCAGAATGCAATTTGGGGGACGAGAGCTCATCAAGCCGTTTCGTGCGGCTTTTTTTCTCGGCCTCCACTATTGTAAATGGAAAATAAAGATATTATTATTATTAATAAACTGGAGCCATCAAAACTTGTTCTTGGCACTTAAGAAGAGGACGATAGTCTTGTGAGAATGTCCTGCAATCAACACGCTTCCATTTGTTGGCCATTTGTTGGCCATTGAGTATATCCTACTTCCGTTGACTGAACCACTCAGCTGACTTCCGCTAACTGAGTTCAATATGGCGACGACGCTTTCATCGCTACCGACGGCCAGCGTAATGATGCGTTTACACGCGAAAAAATCGCTGCCGCCGAAGAGAATTCGGAGGTGGCGGAAGACGGACGTGTTTATATCTATTTCTGCCAGCGGCTGCCGTTTTCTACTATAAAACGAGATACTTCTTGTCGTCTGCTGCTCTCGGCGACTCGTCAAGATCTCGGAGTCACTCCGAGTACGTCCAGTACGAGTAAGCTTAATTCACGTTGTTGACACTGGATAGTGCACGCGCTACTGCGCTCGTTTTGCCACACGAGAAGAACCACGCGAAGATGTTCAAGTTCTACCGCAAAGAAGGCGAGACCGCTACTATTCGGTGTTTCGTACTTGGAATAGAAGGACACGGCCAAACAAACCAATGAAACAGCCGTGCACTATCATCATTGGCGCTCTGCGCTGCACCCCGAATGAACGTACGACCTTTTGTTTTCAAGTGGAGGCTTCCCGCGTGAATAACAGACCTCGTTTTGGCGATCCCTTGGATTTCCTTTGTTTCTTTGTCGTTCAAGTGTAATTTATTGTGTATAGGGAGTATTCACTGGCGGCCATAGCTGTGTGCGCGAACGCTGATCGCGTGCTGATGGCGAACTTACACATTTCTTTTGAAACGTGTATTCCGCATCATCAAGAGTGTCGGTCTTAACAACCTATTGATGTGAGCTCGTTCTGAGCATGCGCTCTAAACAGCACCCACAAATATGGCGTCCATCGAATACTCTTTATTGTCGCGAATGAAGATGACTAGAGGACCGACAGTGGACTGAAAATAAAGGTTTAATTGGCGAACCTCTGTCAAACAAAACAAAGAACGAGCGCCGATGCAGCAGAAAAGCGGGTGGCGATTTGGCGGCGTAACAGCAAGCAAGAGCGGGACTGACTCGACAAGGTCACGGGCAGTTTCTTATCTAGTCTGCGTCGTCATCGGCATCCCGAAAATTCAGCCCAGAAGCAATTGGGGCATCGAGCGTTCGGGGTGAGAATGAACAGGCAGTTTTGAGAACAAGAAATTAAGACGAAATTATAAAAGTTATGCCCTGAGCAAGAATAAACGCGAATCTTCTAAAATTCCGTGACCGAGCGTTGCTTGCTCGGCCGTGAGCGCGACATTATCGACACCCTTTAAAAGCGCATCGTTCCGATGCAACGCGAAATGACACTGAAATGGCTCTACAAATGCAGTGATACAAAATAAACATGCAGCGTCACAATCCTAAAGCGCGTAGAACGGCTTCGGTCGAACTACGTGGACCATTTCGGGTCGTAGTAGGCGGCGTCCTGATGGTCGGGTTCCTTATAGACCAAGTCCCCATGCAAGGCGGCGAATGACTTTGTAAGGTCCAAAAAGTAACGTTTTTAGGAGTTTCTGGCTGAGGCCGCGGCGGCGAATGGGCGTCCACACCCACACTTTGTCTACGGACAGGAACTCCACGTCGCTGCGGCGAAGGTTCTACCGGCCAGAGTCGACACGTTGTTGGTCTTTTGTCCGAAGGCGGGCTAGCTGACATACCGCTTCTGCCCTTTGGGTGACCAGCTGGGCGTCGTCGGTGCCGTCGTCCGTCGGGTCGTGAGGCAGCATAGCGTCGAGCATCCTCGTCACTATTCTGCCGCGCACCAGCTCAAAAGATGTAATCCCTGTGGTTTCTTTCACCGCCGTGTTGTACGCAGACGTGACGTGGGACAACACCTCATCCCACGGCTTGTGTTCCACGTCAACGTAAAAATAGAGATCAAGTCGGCGATGGTTTTGTTTAATCGCTCTGTCAGCCCGTTGGTCTGCGGGTGGTATGTCGTTGTTCGACTATAGCTGGTGTGGCTCACGCGGAGTATCTCTTGTGTCAGCTGCGACATGAACGCGCAGCCTTGGTCCGTAATCAGGGCTTGGGGAGCGCCGTGTCGGAGGACGATAGACTCAACGAAGACCTTGACTGCTGCCACAGCAGTTCCCGACGGGAGTGCTTTTGTCTCGGCGTACCGGGTGAGATAATCAGTTGCCGCGATTATCCAACGCTTTCCCTGCGTCGACGGCGGGAAAGGTCCAAGCAGATCCATTCTAGCTTGTTATAACGGTGCAGTCGGGGGCGCGATCGGCTACAGGAGGCCTACCGGCTTCGTCGGTGGTTTCTTCTGTCGCTGGCACTTGTGGCACGATTGTGTGTAAGGGTGCACAGTCTTCGGGAGCTTGGGCCAGTAGTAGTACTCTCAGATCCTCGTGAGAGTCCTGCTGTAGCCAAGGTGACTCGATGTTGGGTCGTTGTGACAAGCTTGGAAGATATCTTCTCGAAGCTGAGTAGGAATTACCAGGAGCCACGTCGAGTTGCTGTCCCCGAAGTTCTCTTTGTAGAAAATGTCCTACTGAAAAAATCATATGAGTATATATACGAACTGATATATCCAAAAACTGAAATGCGACATATGAAACTGATATGAAATACTCAAAAACTGATATGCGACATATAAGAATTGATATGCAAGATATGCCAACTGATATGAATGTGTCCAATAAACATATCAGAAATAAATTCATATACATTTTCCAGTACACGACGTGCCGCGCGTACAAGCAAACACGTGGCTTGGAACCGCAGTAGAGTGGCTTCATTTATTGGTTCACACGGAAAAAATAAAAACACAGAAAATATACGAGTGACAGACACACACAGTTTTTTCTGTGTGTCTGTCCCTCGTATATTTTCTGTGTTTTTATTCTTTCCATGTGAACTGTACTCCATCCAACGCGCTCTGCTACGTGTACTTGATTTATTGGTTTTCAAATAATTTCGGCATGAGCGCTTCCTTTTTATTAAGAGATTCATCCCCTGAGCCGTTCAGAATACTCTCAGAGGTACGGCATTACTTAAAAAAATCCAACATGCTGAGAATATTATTTATTGCTGGCCACCGAAAAACTCCGTACTTACTATACGACCTGTATAAAA